TGTGATTCATTACTTGCGATCATATTGTTTTCCCACCTACCACACAGTCTATCTGCTTTTTGCTATGGATTATCTAGAGGATATGCCGTCTCCATGCGCGGTTAACGCCGTTCAGCCCTGCTTGGTCAATTCTGTTGCGTTAGCCCCTCCCCTTTTTGGGAGAATGATCCTTTATTATGGTTTTTGCACCTAGAATCCGTATTTCATATTCATAGGATTTCTTCTGAGTTCGCCATGTATAATCAGCTAATGTCTTGCATTTCACAGGATATATCCTCGCAGGTGAGAGACATCATACTTTGCCCCTTCTAGTAATGAAATACGAGACTCTTAAACAGGATATTATTCAGCGAATCACGCCTCCTGACAAGGTCCGTCTGCAGCAACTATTTAGTGATTTGCAGCCATGAGACAGGATGCCCTCAGCCTTGTTGCGCGAAATGCAACAGCTCATCGGCACGTCCAACACAGACGTAGGGATTCTCCGCGAGCTGTGGATGCAATGCCTTCCTGCAAGCACTCAGGCTATCCTTGCAGTAGCAAGTGACTTGCCCATCACAGCAATTGCAGATCTAGCAGACCGCGTCATCGAACGGCACCAGCCAGAGACTGAAACCAAAGCACCTAAGCAGCTTTGTGCTGGCGCAACCACAACGACAGGCATGACTAGCCCTCCGTCGGCAATAGACACATTATCATTGCAGATAGCGTCGCTTCAGCGCCAGATCGAGGAACTCGCTTTAAAACATAAGCACCGCAACAGGTCTGGATCATCGCCCCGTCGCACAAAACCTGGTGCCACAGGTTACTGCTTTTACCACTCGCTTTTCGGTGCTAAAGCCCGTAAGTGCGTACAGCCGTGTAGCTACTCCGCTATAGATGATCCGCCACGCCGGGCTGTAATGGCCTCGAACATCGGCAGAGCCCAAAGTTGTCTCATCTACATTAGGGTTTATGACTCCGATACCCAGTTCTTAGTTGATACCGGGGGGAAGTCAGCGTCATTCCCCCTATGCCAGGTCAGCCTACCACTTCTCTGTCGACAAGCCTCACTGCCGCCAATGGCACGCCAATAGCCACCTACGGTTATCGGTCGCTTACCCTGGACCTAGGTCTCCGGCGCACGTCCCGCTGGGTATTCACTGTCGCTGCAGTCCCCTTTGCCATCATCGGCATTGACTTTCTCAGGCATTTCGACCTCTTGGTCGATGCGAAACGTCAGATGATAATCGACACTGCAACAAAACTCAGCGTACGTGGCATCACCTCCGATGTGACATCTATATCCCCGGTCTATGCATTTCCCAAGACCTCGTCAGCCTACGCTAATCTCCTTTCTCAGTATCCCAAGCTCGTTCAGCCAATGAACGCAGCTTTGCCCGTAGCAGCTCAAGTCACGCACCACATACGGACTACTAGCCCACCTGTGTCATGCCGTCCACGCCGACTATCGCCTGAGAAACTAAAGGTAGCTAGGGCAGATTTTGAGCACATGCTTGAACTTGGAATAATCCGCCCTTCTGCCAGCCCTTTATCCTAGCCCCTGCAGATGGTCCCCAAGAAATCTGGTGACTGGCGCCCTTGCGGTGATTACCGCGCACTCAATCGCCTAACCGTCCCAGATAGGTATCCCATCCCACACATGCAGGACCTTACCGCATGCCTCACAGGTAAGACGATCTTCAGCAAGATCGATCTGGTTCGCGTCTATCACCAGATAGCTGTGGAAGACAATGACATTCCTAAAACAGCCGTCATCACTCCTTTCGGTTTGTTCGAATTTTAAGAGTGCCATTTGGACTATGCAATGCCGCACAAACCTTCCAACGCTTCATCCACGATGTCACTCGTGACCTAGACTTCGCCTATTCCTACCTCGATTATATTTTAGTAGCCAGTTCAACGGAACAAGAGCACCTCGAGCATTTTCGAACTCTCTTCCAGCGCTTGACCCAACACAGTGTCACAGTCAACCCGGGTAAGTGCGAACTCGGCAAATCAACGGTAGAATTCCTAGGCCACCTCGTTGCATCGTCTGGTATCGAGATCCTTCCTGATAAGACCCAGGCGATCAAGGACTTCCCAGCTCCGACTTCGTTCAAGCACCTCCGTCGATTTTGTGGTTTGGTCAACTGCTATCAACGTTTCATTCCTCGCGGCGCTCAGCTCATGCAGCCACTGACTGACCTACTCAGAAGAAATGAACGTAAGTTCGCATTCCCTGACACAGCACAGGCAGCCTTCGCCGAGCTCAAGGATGCTATCTCCAACATAGCCCTCCTCGCTCATTCCGAATCGACTGCCCTCCTTTCTATTACGACTGATGCTTCAGACGTCGCGATAACAGCCGTCTTCCAACAACACGTTGGTGGGCACTGGCAACCCCTTGGGTTCTTCTCCAAGCGCCTGCAGCCAGCGGGATCTTGCTACAGCACGTTTGGCAGAGAACTGCTCGCCATTTACCTAGCAATACGTCACTTCCGGCACACGCTCGAAGGCCGCGCTTTCACGGTCTGCACTGACCACAAGCCCCTTATCTTTGTCTTCAACTCTGTTAGCGACAAATACTCACCACGGGAAACAAGACACCTAGACTTTGTCACGCAGTTCACTGCCGACAGACGTCATGTCTCAGGTGTCGACAATCCCGTCGCCGACGCTCTCTCACGCGTCAACCTCACTCTGCAGTCTTTACCTACCGTCGACCTTGCCGCCATGGCATCAGCTCAGGCTCACGACGAAGATATGCAGCGTACTCTGCAGTCCACTTCGCTGCATGTGCAACCTGTTCCTCCCCAAACCACTGAAGGAACCATTCTCTGTGACACTTCCACAGCTTGTCCTAGACCTCTCGTGTCCGTTTCCTTCAGACGCACTGCACTCACTATCACATCCCGGTATCTGGGCCTCTTTGAAACTGGTCACCGAACGTTTCCTTTGGCCACGCGTAAACAAAGATGTTCGTACTTGGGCTCGCACCTGCCTTCAATGCCAGCGCTCTAAAGTACATCGTCACACCCACAGTCCTCTTGGTTCATTTCCTGCCCCGGACTCGGTTCTCGCATGTACCCTTAGACCTCGTAGGTCCCTTGCCTCCTTTACGTGGATTCGTATACATTCTTACATGTGTCGACCGCTTCACCAGATGGCCAGAAGCCATCCTCGTAACAGACTGCACAGCTGAGACTGTTATCCGGGCCTTCTTGGACTGGTGGGTCTCGCACTATGGATGCCCATCCACCATCACAACTGACCGAGGAACGCCTTTCGAATCTTCACAATTCGATACGTTCTGCAACTTTTTAGGCTCTCGCCGCATTCATACCACGGCGTATCACCCGGCAGCCAACGGGTTAGTTGAATCTTTCCATAGACAGCTTAAAGCCTCTCTGCGCCTCCTCCGACCCTAGCTGGAGCGAACACGTTTCGCTCGTACTTTTAGGCAGACGTAGGGGCATCAAAGACGACTTGTAAAGTGCACCAGCAGAGCTGGTTTACAGCACAACGCTCAAGTTACCAGGAGAATTCGTTTCACTTCCTGCATCGTCGGGTATGCCTCCGTCTAACTTTGCGTCCTCCCTAGCTCAACGCATGCGTTCAATACGCCCGACCCCGCCCCGTGAACAGACTAGAGATGTGCACATGCACAGCAGACTCTCTGTCTGCACCCACGTCTTCCTCCGCACCGACGCAGTGCGGCGTCCTTTCCATCCGCTTTACACTGGTCCTTTCGGAGTTCTACAACGGACTCCGAATCACCTTACTTTAGACCAGAATGGTCGCCGAACAACGGTGTCCATCGACCGCCTCAAAGTGGCTTTCTTAGACGAACCACAGGCAACCCATCCTGATGCTCTCGCACAAGCACCCGCATCTGTGGTGAATTCCCGAGCACTGGATAGCCCGGAACCCTCCGTACCCCTTGACCCGCAACCTATCCAGCCGCAACCCCAGGCAACCGCCCGACGCGGTAGACTGGTTAAACGTCCGGTCCGTTTTTCAGATTTTGTAGAGGTTTACTATTTCCATTAACACGCCTTTTCGTCTAGTAGTTATCCGGAGTCTCATCCACAAACGTTTTGAAAAATCGACTGAAAGAAACCCAAAACATTGAAAACCTAAAAAGCCTATTTGCTTTTATCATGCATGCCATGTTCCCTCTCCGGCATCAGGCCACTTTTCCGACCCTTGCCCACCACATCTGAGTTCTACCATCCAGGAATTGCCTAGACAACCCTCGAGTGACTCGCCAGCCGTCCCAAGGTCCCTTCTTCACCCAAGAAACAGAGAGTTACCCTCGACCGCAGACACCCACGAACGGATTGGTCCCCAAACGCCTGGCTAGTCATTGCCGACGAGGACGCCCGCATTTCTTCATGGGTCGAGGAAGCCTGGATATCTTCGTGGGACGAGGGCCGTGGACTAAAGTGCGGTGGGGGAGTGACATCTCCCAAGCGCATCGCCGGGTCTGTAGCAAAGGGAAGGTCCTGTCGGTTTTTTATCTGGACTAGCCAGTTTCTTTTGCAGTCCGACCAGCCCGCCCCGACGGTCCACCGATGATGCACTCTGGTCCACGCGATCGTCATAAATAATAACTAGCCAAAGCCTGGACCCTGCGAACTCTGCTACACACCCCGCATTGGAAGCCCTTACTCAATCCCATGCAAATATTCGCATCCACCCTCACCTTCCGTTTACCCCCACTAACAGCTCCATCGAAGGCATCCATCCTTCAGCCTTATAGGGGAGGCGCTTGTAGTGTACCGGAAAACAAGCTCTTTCAGTATTTTGTTACATTGGCTTGTACGGTTGTTTTAACCTTCGAAACGTCCACTTGTCTTACTGACTGCACATCCGTTGACACAAGCCGTTTTGGTGGGTACCTCGCTGCACGTTTCTCGCTCTGTCTGATTCGCTGCCTATTCTTGTAGCCTGCACAATACACGTTGGGTTCTGTTGCCTCCGACTTCTATACTGTCGTATTTGACACGTATTACCTGTCATTGGTTACCGACTAGTATCCAAGGCTCCCCCCCCCCCCCCCCCCACCCCACCCCCCCCCCCCCCCCCCCCCCCCCCCCCCACCCCCCCCCCCCCCCCCCCCCCCCACCCCCCCCCCCCCCCCCCCCCCCCCCCCCCCCCCCCCCCCCCCCCCCCCCCCCCCCCCCCCCCCCCCCCACCCCCCCCCCCCCCCCCCCCCCCCCCCCCCCCCCCCCCCCCCCCCCCCCCCCCCCCCCCCCCCCCCCCCCCCCCCCCCCCCCCCCCCCCCCCCCCCCCCCCCCCCCCCCCCCCCCCCCCCCCCCCCCCCCCCCCCCCCCCCCCCCCCCCCCCCCCCCCCCCCCCCCCCCCCCCCCCCCCACCCACCCCCCCCCCCCCCCCCCCCCCCCACCCCCCCCCCCCCCCCCCCCCCCCCCCCCCCCCCCCCCCCCCCCCCCCCCCCCCCCCCCCCCCCCCCCACCCCCCCCCCCCCCCCCTCCCACCATCCTCCAACCCACACCCACCCTCTAACTATTTCAAACACCAATCCCCCACCTCACCAAACCTCCCTCAAACCACAAACCACTACACACACTTCTCCCTCTAACTCCCATCAACAAACTAATAACCAAACCATCAAACCCCAACCCCAAATACCCTATACCCCCTCCACCATAATTCTTTTTCATACATAATAAATATCACCAAAACCCCATCAATATCAAACTCAATATGTTCATCCATTCAATATACACTATCATAATACCAATAAAAATACTGTTGGACTTTGGAGATCACATCCAAACATATGTACCCCGGTGTTCTGTTTTTTATTCTTACGCTACTTTATTTGTTTCCTTGATGAAATTATGTTCAAGAAGCCATTTTCCTTCGCGACTGATGCCAAAATTGTGTATTGTTTCGCCCCTGGGCAAGGTAGTCGTAATTTAGCCTGTATTTATCCTGACTTGTCAGCATTAGAGCACTGGAGTAATTCCTGAATTTGCACTTCGCCAATGACAACTGTAATCTATGGTACCACGGCTGTGACACTTTGCCGAACAACCTAGCCTTAAACAACATTCCTATTCCTGTGTGCGGCGCAGTCCGAGACCTTAGTCTGAGACATTATGCCACGTTTAAATTTTTAGTTTATGTTCTTGCAGGCCTCTGCTTAAAAATCATCCTCTACATAAACCGAATGCGTATCCTGAGGAATACCAGGCTTCGCGTCTATATAATTTGTGTTAGACAGAAGCATAATAACTGTACAACTGTGTATGGAACTCACAAGATAGTGGACATCATAGCACTGAAAAACATTCAACGATCATTCACAAAGCGATGCTTAAACTTGCCCGACCTTATGACCTTCCGTGAGCGGTGCGAGGTTCTAACATTGCAGCCGCTATTACTGTGCAGACTCAAACTTAAGTTTGCCTTCTATACCCCTGTTACGTGTTCAACCAACGATCGCTCACTATGACCGTGAACCTGATTGGCCCTACACACACGTAGATAAGCAGCACACACGCACTCAAGGACACACCCTAACGTTCCATGTTCACATGTAAACCGTTAAGTGTTCAGTACACTGTGCGCCAGACTGACGCGTCTTCTTGCTTATTCGCTGTGAGTTGAAATACGTACTTGCGGTTAGAGTCCAGCTGTGATATCTGGCGACGGAGGTCAACATGTCCATGACAAATACTCCACCGGTCTTCTGGTCGTGCTCTACCGACAAACCTTCCCTGGACTCGTGGCGTAGATGGCGGAAAACCTTTACGGATTACTTGAAATTGCTTCCAATCTTGAATCCAGCAGTATCTCTTACTGAGAAAAACAAAGTGAAGCTCTTGAGACAGTTTCTTGGAGATGATGGTCAAGGGTATTTCGATGCACTTCGTATTGATCCAATCTCTTCTACGATAACTGGCGCTTTGGAGACCTTCAGTGCTCTTTGGGGTGCTCGTCAGAATGTTTTTACGGCTAGATACTACTTCTCGGAACTCTGCCAGAAACCAGATGAGAGTGTGAACGAGTTCATCGCTCGTGTACTACAAGCAGCATTTGATTGTAAATACAATGAAGTCGAACCAACGAGATTTGAAGAGACCATGTTACTCCAATGTTTGATAGCCGGAATCCCAGACCAGAGCACGTGGGAGAAGCTCCTTTCACAAGATGGTTGTTCACTGACCTGGGAGACGGCCTGCTCGATTGCCCGGCAGAGGGAACACCTTACACAACAACTCGCAACATTTACGCTGAAGGACTCGTCAGATGAGCTGCGATTGATTAACACTACACCAAAACCAAAGCCACCCACTGGCGTCGATTTGTTTGTGTGCTATCGCTGTGGTGAGCAGCACAGTTGTCCATCTGACTGCCGGCATCAGAAGACAGTATGTCGAAGCTGCGGGAAGGTGGGCCACCTGGCGCGAATGTGTAGATCGGTCAAGCGACGTTCAGGTGGGGCTTATCGAGGAGCAAACCCCATTAAAACTGTGGACAAGTCTGGTGGTAGCGACCCTGAATTACATTCCATTTGGCTTAATTCCGTTTCTAGCATGCAGCCGGCGCCATACACTCTAGAGCTTTACATTGAAGGACAAAAGGTACAGATGGAAATCGATACAGGATCATCCGTGACGATAATCCGGGAAAACGCTGTAAAAACGCTCCCGAACTTATCCGCTTGCAATTCTGTTCTTCGCACATACACCGGTGAACCTATACGTGTCCTTGGTAAATGCTTCGTGAAGGCACAGTATGGCGACAAAATATGCACGCTTCCTGTATATGTGATCCCCGGGGATCGTCCAAATTTACTTGGAAGAGACTGGATACGTGCTTTTCCGGATACAATGAATGTGGTAAAATTAGTCACCGAGATCTCCGGACTTGAAACATTACTTAAACAACATTCAGCTGTTTTTTCCGAGGAGCTTGGGAAGTTGAAAGAATTTCAGGCTGCGATAAAACTAAAGGAAGGCGCTCGACCAAAATTCATTAAGGCGCGCACACTACCATACTCTATGAGGCCTAAAGTGGAAGAGGAACTAAACCGCCTACAGACTCAAGGTAGTATTGCTCCTGTACACTTTTCTGACTGGGGAACTCCAATTGTGCCAGTTACCAAACTGGGCGGCTCCGTACGGATTTGTGGTGACTACAAGATAACCATAAATCAAGCATTCATGCTGGTCAGGTACCCCTTGTTACGTATTGATGACTTGTATGCAACACTAGCTGGTGGTGAAAAGTTTACCAAACTCGATCTGCGTCATGCATACTCGCAGATAGAGCTCGATGAACCTTCGAGGAAACTTACTACCATCACCACGCACATGGGACTATTTCAATATACTCGTTTACCTTTTGGCATTAATTCCGCCCCCGGAATATTTCAGAGAATTATTGACGACCTAGTGAAGGACATTCCTTTTGCGTGTGCTTATCTGGATGATATTCTTATCTCTGGACGCTCGGATACAGAGCATCTTCGAACACTCGCAGTCGTGCTCGAGCGTTTGGAGCGAAGTGGATTCATATTGAAAAGGTCTAAATGTGAGTTCCTTTCACCTTCCGTTTGTTACCTTGGATACCGACTTGAGAAACACGGTTTACATGTTTTAAATGACAAGGTTAAATCTATTTTAGAAAGCCCAGAGCTAAAGAATTGTGATGAACTCCGTTCGTTCTTAGGAATGCTATCTCACTATCGCCGTTTCTTGCCTAATGCATCGACGGTTCTATCGCCATTAAATGAGCTGTTACACAAAAATGCATCGTGGTGTTGGGGTTCCCGTCAAAAAATGCCTTCAATAAAGCAAAACAAGCTCTTGCTTCGCCACCAACGTTAGTCCATTATGACTCTAACAAGCCACTCATACTTCATTGCGACGCGTCCCCTTGGGGGGTCGGGGCTGTCCTGTGCCACCGCATGGACGATGGTTCTTTACGTCCCATAGCATATGCCTCGCGCACCTTACAGACGGCGGAGAAGAACTACTCACAACTGAACAGGGAAGCGCTAGCCGTTATCTTCGGAGTTAAGAGGTTTCACCAGTATTTATGGGAAACGTTTTCGAGCTTCATACAGACCACAAACCATTGATATCCTTGTTTGGGGAAACCAAGGGTATACAACAAATGGCATCACCGAGGATGCAAAGATGGGCTATAACCTTGAGTCCTTACAGTTACAAGATTGTTTATATTACCGGCGTCAGCAACTGCACAGCTGATGCACTCAGCCGTCTGCCGATCACGGAAACGGCACATGAACACGACCCTCCGTTTGAACTGGTTAATCTAATGCAACATCTAGACACAACACCGCTACGGAGTTCAACAATCCGTCAATGGACGGATCGAGACCCCGTGCTATCAATGGTGAAACGCTTTTTGAACATGGGTTGGCCTCCTGAAGGGACAGTTGAATTACAACCGTTTATGATTCGGAAGAACGAACTGAGTCTATTCGACGGCTGTGTTTTTTTGGTCTCTCGTCTCATCCCTCCCACCAAGGCGCGTTCACAGATACTTAAAGAGCTTCATGATGCTCATCCAAGTGTGGCGAGGATGAAGGCACTAGCGAGAGGGTACTGCTGGTGGCCCAACATCGACTCAGACGTAGAGAACTTACTGAAGAATTGCGATATTTGTCAGGCGTATCAGCGGAGCAAGGCGCCAGGTCCAATACACCCTTGGCGTTGGCCCGAGAAGCCCTGGCAGCGTATCCACGCCGACTACTTCGGACCGATCGACGGGACCATGTTTCTTCTACTTATTGATGCACATTCTAAGTGGATTGACGTACATCCAGTTACTCAGGCGACAGCCGAATCCACCATCACTAAAATGCGCTCGTCCGTCGCTACGTTTGGCATTCCGGAAACCATTTGTACAGACAATGGTTCGCCTTTTACCAGTGCCGAATTTGGTAAATTTGTCGCCAACAACGGAATCCAGCACGTTAAATCAGCCCCGTATCACACAGCATCAAACGGATTAGCGGAGCGTGCAGTACAAACTGTGAAACAAGGCTTACTAAAGCAGCAAACGGGAACGTTGCGAACAAAACTGGATCGGTTCCTATTCTCCTACCGTTCTACACCCACTGAGGCTACCGGGAAATCCCCGGCGGAATTGATGTTCGGCAGAAATCTGAGAACGAGGCTTCATTTGTTGTTCCCGAACCCGCGTGTTGAAGTACAGGAGCGTCAGAAAAAGTTTGTGTCTTCAGAGGAATCAAAGCCGGAAGTTACATTTCAGGACCATCAACCTGTTTACACCAGGTTACCGCATGAACAATGTTGGCAGCCGGCGACTGTGCTCGATTCTTCAGGAAGTCAAAACGATTTGCAGCTTCCGGACGGCCGGGTTGTTCGCCGGCACTCAGATCATGTACGCCCCAGGAGCACTGACACACCTGCCGTGAGTCAGTCACACTCGGAGATCGCAGAGTAAGCTGCAGAGCACGACAAACACAGAACAACAGGGGAAACTCAATTACGCCGATCGACCCGGATTCGCAAACCGATCGAACGTTTTCAGCCATGACTGTAACGTCAGCCAAAACAGGGAGGACTGTTGCGTGTTCAGCCAATGATCGCTCACTATGACCGTGAACCTGATTGGCCCTACACACACACGTAGATAAGCACGCACACACGCACTCAAGGACACACCCTAACGTTCCGTGTTCACATGTAAACCGTTAAGTGTTCAGTTCACTGTGCTCCAGACTGACGCGTCTTCTTGCTTATTCGCTGTGAGTTGAAATACGTACTTGCGGTTAGAGTCCAGTTGTGATAACCGCTTATTATCCAGCTTAGGCTTTACACCTTAGCCACAATTCGATTTTCAGTCTCCCAAGTGCTATAAGAAATCGCCAGCGTATACTGCATATTCAAAATTCTCGTACCAAGTTCCGCCGAAATATTTTCTCAGTAGAACATGCGGTGATATGGTATGAACTTTCGTCAAATGGCAGAAAATGCGCTGCCTATCTGCAATTCAAACGGAGGAGCAATGTTCGTCTGACTTTCTCCAATATCCTGTCAACACTTAACCAGAAGATGACTCTGGATGATCTGTGTGAGAAAGGTCTTGGATAAACATAAAAGTTGCAATATTCCATAATTATTCCAAGGTTATAAATTTATCTGAAAATGGATGAACTCCCTAATATGTACATACAGTCCCTCTTACTCTCACTCCTACACTCCAGTCTAATTAATACCGACTTCTCGATTGGCGTACTGCTTTTCGTAGATGAAGTACACTTTTCAAGCAGTACTCTCCGCACCATTGTCATGGTTTTCGATGATATTCCACTAACTTGTGCTTGGCCTAAGAGCAAAACTTTGCAAGCATCATATTGTTCCAGATTTCACTGATATTTACGACTGGGACGATCTCTTGAGGTGACGGATTGCGGCCTCCAAGATAAACTATTTATACCCATGCAAAGTACACTACCACAGACCCGCAGGCAGATAACAAAAATACTCCATTCTTGAATAAACCGCATGGTGGATGGTGATGTGCTTTCATCGCATATGATGTATGCATACAATAGACCTTATAAACTATGTGTGCAACAGGTGATGGCTTACATGTTATTTTGCCACATTATAGGGTTGCCTATTCCGGGAGCCCAGAGAGCGATTCCAGAAGACAGATCGAGTTGCAGGGAAACTTTTATTGGTTCAGCAAAAGATTCCCTGTTAGCTAGCTATAAACGAACGACACCGTGTACGCTCTAGCTAGGGAAACGGAGCAAACACAGCACACAGAGCAGTCGCGCGTTGCAACCGAAGCGAGCGCCAAGCAAAAATGGCGATGAGCAAGTAAAGCATTCGAACTCAGCAAGCAGTTCAACAAACCACACCGGTTGCCTAGGTGTACAATTATAGAATTTTGGTTAGAATTTTACACAGGCAAACCGGGGAATCTCCAGACTGCTACATAGCCCTCTCCCAGAAGGGACTGTGTAAGCAGTCCTTCGATCTACGTGAGGACTGTCCGTCGCGGGCCAGCCTTCTGCGAGACCAGGTTGTGAAACCCGATGCAGCTGCTGGGGGAGAACCATGCAATCGGACCCTAGCGGGCTCCCACCCGTGTCCTCCCTACGGTGTCGAAACGGTAAAAAAACTGTTTGTAGGGGGGGACAGTTAGTGAAGTTCACGTATGCGGTTGAACAGGAAGTTCGTTCCACTTGCAGTTGACGTGCGGAGATCCAGCGGAAGTGAAACCGAGGGGCAACCAACCGACGGGGTGTATATGGAAAGCAAAATGAAAAAGCAGCGTAAGTGCATAGCCATACACAAAAGAGTGCAAAGCGAAAAACGTGCAAAGCTGTTTTTGGGTTTTCAAAAGGTTTTGCTCTTTTTTGGTAGTTTCAAAACGTTTTGGTCTTTTTTTGTGGATTTTCAAAAACGTTTAGTAAGAGCAGAAAATTTCTAAGGCACGTTCTACGTAAAATAGTAAGTGCGAACGGAGTCCGAAAAACGAACCTTAGGTTTGAGCTTCCTACCGCGTTGAATGAGAGTAGGGCGGCTAGGAGTGCTGTCGGTTGTGGTTGTCGGTTCTGCTGGAGCGGACTGACTCGTCTGAGGTTGCGGTGCCAGCTGTGATGGCACAGGCTGTGAAGGTGCTTGTTGCACCGGCGAGTCAGACTTGTCGAAGAATGCTGGCTTGAGTCGATCAATGGTGATCGTCTCAGTGGTGTTGCGTCGTGGCTTGCTTATGTCGGGATCAGCTTGTTGGGCAGCAGCCATGGCGGCTAGATCAATGTTGTGCCAGGCGATAAGCTGATCTGCTGAATGCGTGAAAGCGCATCCGCGACGGGATTGAGAGCACCTGAGACATGACGTACGTCTGTCGTAAACTGAGAAACGTAGTCTAGGTGTCTAGTTTCCCGCGGCGAGTACTTGTCCGTTGCGCCATTGATTGCGTAGATCAATGGCTTGTGGTCGGTGAAGACGGTGAAATGTCGACCTTCGAGGTAGTGACGGAAATGTCGGATACCTAGGTAGATAGCTAACAGTTCCCTACCGAAGGTGCTGTATCGCGATTCGGCAGGTTGTAAGCGCTTTGAGAAGAAACCTAGAGGTATCCATCGACGGTCGATGAGTTGTTGAAGAACTGCACCGACGGCAGTGTCTGATGCGTCAGTTGTCAGAGAGAGTGATGCAGACGTGTCTGGATGGGCGAGAAGCGCTATGTTGGAGATAGCGTCTTTAAGCTTCTCGAAAGACAATTTAGCGTCGTCTGTAAAGTGAAAAGACCGTTGTTTACCGCGGAGCAAGTCAGTCATTGGTTGAACAATGCTCGCGCAGTTAGGTATAAAGCGTCTGTAATAGTTGACCAGGCCAAGGAATCGGCGTAACTGCTTGAAGGAACTGGGAGCAGGATAGTCCTTCAGTGCCTGGATTTTGTCTGGCAGGGCTTCGATACCAGAGGTAGATATGCGGTGGCCAAGAAAGTCGATGGAACTTTGGCCAAGCTCGCATTTATCGGGGTTGACGGTAACCCCATGCTGCGTTAAGCGTTGGAAGAGAGCGTCGAGGTGACGAAGATGCTCCTCGTCAGAAGAGCTGGCGATGAGAATGTCATCGAGATAGGGATAAACGCCTTCGAGTCCTCGCGTTACCTCATGAATGAAACGCTGAAAAGTTTGGGCAGCGTTGCTGAGGCCGAAAGGCATTCTGAGGTACTCGAATAGGCCGAATGGCGTGATGACTGCTGTTTTAGCAATGTCGTCTGGCGCGACAGGTATCTGGTGGTAGGCACGGACTAAGTCGACTTTGCTGAAGATAGACTTGCCAGCTAGAGCTGAGGTCAAGTCGTGCATGTGCGGGATAGGGTATTTATCCGGGACGGTAACTTTGTTAAGTGCCCTGTAGTCACCACAAGGGCGCCAGTCACCGGACTTCTTCGGCACCATGTGTAATGGTGATGCCCATGGACTTTTAGACGGGCGGATGATTCCCAGTTCGAGCATTTGCTCGAATTCCGCCTTCGCAGCTTTGAGCTTGTCCGGGGCTAGTCGGCGAGGGCGGGCCGAAACAGGTGGGCCCTTAGTGCAAATGTAATGCATGACGTTCGACGTCACAGGAGGCAAGTCGTTCAGGACGCGAACGAGTTTAGGGTGCTTGCTGAAAAGCTCTAGAAAAGACTGTGAAGCTTGAGGTAGGACACGAATGGGAGTGATAGCAGCCACGTTGGCGCTAGTCCCGATAACACTGAGCTGTGTCCTAGAGTCGATAAGCTTCTTCCTTTTGGCGTCGACGATGAGGTCGAAGCGTTGAAGAAAGTCTATGCCTATGATGGCGAAAGGCACAGCAGCGATTATGAAAGGCCAGCGAAAGGTTCGCCGGAGGCCTAAGTTGAGCGTTAGCAGCTTTTCGCCGAAAGTTGCGATTGGTGTGCCATTGGCGGCACGCAGCTTGGTCGGCGATGGTGAGACGACCTCATCTGAGCTACGGGGTATGACGCTAACTTCGGCACCAGTGTCGACTAGAAACTCGATGCCGGAAGTTAAATCCCTAACACGGATGAGGCGACTTTGGTGTTGGCCGGTCGCGTCCGTCGCCGTTACCGACCGGCCGAGCAGTTTCCCTGCTGCTCGGCGTAGTTGCAAGGCTTGACACATTTACGAGCTGCGGTACCAAAACGCTGGTGGTACCAACAGCTAGCCTGCCTGTTTCTAGACTTAGAACGTTTGCAGGGCGATGTTGAGCGGCTAGGACGACGACGGGTCATAGTAAGCTGTTGCACCTGGCGACTAAGTGTCGCAACTTGTGTTTGGAGGGCTTCTATAGTTGACTGTAAGCCAGTGATAGAAGTGCCCTGGGACGCGACGGCATGGACCTTGCTGGCGTTGGCCTGTGGCTGTGATCGTTCAATAACTCGATCCGCTAAGTCTGCTAGTTGAGTGAGCGGAACGGAGCTCACTGTAGCGAGAATCGCTTGTGTGTTTTCCGGTAGCCGCTGTAGCCATAGTTCGCGAAGTAAAGTCTCGTCCATGGTTGATGAACCAAGGAGTTGCTGCATCTCGCGTAGCAGGGTTGAGGGCAGTTTGTCGCCCAATTGCAGATCCCTGAAAAGCTGCTGCAGGCGAACTTTCTCAGAGGGCATAACACGCTTAATCGTGGCCTCCTTCAGAGCCTCATAGCGGTTATCGGTCTGAGAAATGATAACGTCACGAACCTGCGTTGATATCTCCTTGGGGAGATAGGACAGGAGCTTGCAATACTTCGCGTAGTCGGAAGTGATTCTGTGGTTATAAAACTCAGCCTCCAGATGAGCGAACCACAAAACAGGATCCATGTCCCAAAAAGGTGGAACTGAGAGAGATACAACACTAAGCATAGACTCTACCTTATGGTCTACCGATTCCATGATTTGAAAAAATGACGCGAAAAAGTAGGCTACCGTATGCAAAAATAAAACCGGAAAATATGAAAAATAAATGGAACGAGCTCACCGGAGAAAAGTTCGAAATATCCGGCGTTGAGATTGTTCCGGATCCGGGGTCACCAATTTAGAGGGTTGCCTATTCCGGGAGCCCAGAGAGCGATTCCAGAAGACAGATCGAGTTGCAGGGAAACTTTTATTGGTTCAGCAAAAGATTCCCTGTTAGCTAGCTATAAATGAACGACACCGTGGACACACTAGCTAGGGGAACGGAGGATGCATAGCACACAGGGCAGTTGCGAGTTGCAACCGAAACGAGCGCCAAGCAAAAATGGCAATGAGCAAGTCAAGCATTCGAACTCAGCAATCAGTTCAACAAACCACACCGGTTGCCTAGGTGTACAATGAAAGAATTTTAGTTAGAATTTTACACAGGCGAACCGGGGAATCTCCAGACTGCTACACAGTCAATCGGCAAACGAGAGGATGGACGAGGCTCGCGACTCAACGACAGATAATGTGTGTAGAAAATGGCGTATCCGTAAAGCAACTTATCTGTCAGAAGGTACAAGCAACAATAAGCTCCAAAGTTGTCAACGGCGGAAAGATCGCGTGTCTTCAAGTTCTTAATAGAATATATATCTTGCGGCGTAACGCTGCGTACACGACGTTGACCTCAGTGCTGGGCTGTGCACCAAGCGGTGGATTAACGAAGGACAAGGTAAAAACCTTGACATAATTTATATAGCTGGGCGCTGTTTTAAACTGCTTTTGCTTATATTCATCCTTGCACTTGTAAAAGGGAAGAATCTGGACTGCATTGTCCAATTCTAGAGCACATTAAATTAGTTTTATTTGCCCTAATACCTGCTGATTAGGCACTTAAAGAAATCGATAGCTCTGGTAACACGAAGAACGCCAACTTCAATTCAAGTAATAGGCTGGACTAGGCAGGGAAGGTGCTCCACAACGGTCGATGCAATCAATAAAAAATAATAGTCCAAGGGTACATCCGACATTGCAAATAAGAGGAGTGTTATGAACAAGCATTGGCGTGTGAACAGGGAACGGAAATTACGAACAGATGAGCAATAGTGCCTTAGTGTGATGTTACACGATAAAGTAGGTATATGATAAAATGAGGGACCGAATGGTGGATGGTGTTGTCACAAAACACGGAATCTTCGTTGCCATGACAGCAACCGTCGCTGCGTGAGTACTTGGTGATGCAATCTGAAATGAAACATATAGCGAACGGAAACACTGATAACTTGAAGCTGTGGAAGCTGCGCTATATTTTAATGGAATTAAATATTCTTAACCGGTTCGGAGAGAAGTAATATGTGGGGAGGTTTACGTTGACGGCACGAAAATTATAGGTGTACATAAAAATAAGCTTTTGTTTAAGGCCCTTCATGCGCGTTAGGGAAAAAAACGCGAACTAATTGTGTTACTGTTATAATGCGGTGTGTGGTGTGATATGTTACTACCTTAATATGTTTCATACTGCAACCGCTGGGGAAATGTGGTTTAAAACTCCATATTTCACGAATTTGTTTGCAGCATGGGTTAAAGGAACTGTAGTTTGCAACCATACAGAGGTATATTTCACGGGAATCCAAACATGATTTTATTCGTAATTTGAATTGTATGGGATAAATATTTTAGCCAGAATTGTATAGTGGATAGATACGCAACGTGATAATATGTGAATGTTTGTAATGTACGGTAAAGAGAGATGGGAAGTCCCAGCGATATAGTTCATCCCTGCAATCAATTGATCGCATTTCTGTCTAGCAGATTTCGACGTATATGGTTTTGTTATATTTCGTATTTTTGTTATGATGTATAAAATACATATATATTATGATGTCATATATTAATATCATATTAATATTATTTAGTAAATATGTAATATGTATAGCCATATGATAGATTATTGTTATATTTTTAATTGCATTTTAATACGTTACATGGCATATTTTTCGAAGGTAATTGGGTAACGAAACATAATTCCCAGGTATTTATTAAACTCATGTTGCTGTCACTGGTTAAATGCCTCATAACTTGTATAAGTCCATGTTCTTCGTTCATCAGCGGACATAGTTTATCACGTGAGAGAGCCGCTGCAGGAAGTAAATTGATTAACTGTTGTGTGTTATTTCACTAGTTTTTAACCGTTTAATCCTCTGCATATCTTCTTGTATAGCGTTCCATGTAGTTGCACTACTTATGAAGCCATTCATAAGGTAAAATGGTTTACTTCATGTATAGACGGTTCTGTGACACTGAGCACTGGAATACTGTGGATAATCCGAGGGGTGCAGTTCCTATGTGACTGTAGCGATGAACGTACCCAGTGAGTGTTCCATTTTTGGTGGATGGTTGAGCTAGGGATTGCTGCAAGACTCAGGTATTGTTGAATCTAAATGGGGATCACCCCTCTGGCACCCTGTGCAAACAGTTAATGCCTACTTTCCCGCCCTA